TATAAATTGTCAGGCTTGAAACTAGTCATAGAACTGTGGGAACTCCAGTTCTAATTGAGTCTTCCTTTGATCTTATACAACCTAGAGAAAGCATACTTGCCATTCCTGTCTTGGATTATCCTTGAAAGCTTGTTCTACTTTCTGTGCCAGGGTTGACCCATAATCACTACAAATGAATCAAAGAACTATACAAGGCAATATGGTTTGAAAAAATTCTATGAACATTAAACTATAGGCTTCCCTCTAAATTTCTGTCTCTTTTATTGACCAGTAGTATCACGTACCCTCTATTCCAATGACTCTCGAAAAATATGTTGCACCAGCTTCTGTTCTCAACTTTAATGCTTTATAGTTACTTCTTGCTCCATTTTTTTTTAATTTTAAAGAATAAAAGAAGGATAACATAATAATGGGGGGACTTAGCAAATTACAGGCAAAATGGTAGGAAATTATCAATGGTTATCGTTTTACATATTATTATCTACAAAATAGTTTCTCAGGAAAACAAATAGACAAATAATAGTGCGTTAGAGACAAAAGAGGTAGGAGATTATCAAGAGTTGTTGTGCTATACTTTGGTATCTTCAAAGTGGCTTCTAAAGAAAATAAATAGAGCTATACATGAGTGACCTATTGAAAAATCATTAACTATTCTCAATGGTTGTTGTAGGAAACACATAATAATAAACATACATTATGAAATAGGATAGGAACATTACAAACTTAACACAGTTATGGATAGATTAGTAGGAAAATATCAATGGCTGCTATAATACGTGGTGGTATCTTCAAAGTGGTTTCTCAGGAAGACAGAGATATGCAAGAAGGATCTAATAAGTAGTTACAGCCTAAGGGTTGTCAAAAATAGCATATTACCTCCTCACCAGTGACTCCTTACACTGAGGTATGATGGCTGGAAGGAAGGCCAGGATTGAAAAGAAGGACCAAGAGACTTGCACCTGTGACTAGCAACAGGCTGTTTTCTTGTTCCTCCATAGTTTGCTCCATTTGTTTTAACTATAGACTTTAACTCCTCAATGGTCTGATTAAGTTTGGGTGAGAAAACTATAAGTTCCCTTGAGCATCACTTAAGAGCTGTAATCCTAAGAAATTTGAATTTTCAGAGTGTGTTATTGAAACAAATATTTCAATGAAAAATTTAAAAAGGAATTGAAAGCTATAAAGTTTTTGTAATATAGAAAATTACAGTAGTTGCTCCTAGACTTAAAAATAACAGTGAGTGTGGCATAAAATAGATACAAAACCCAAGCAAACCCAGTTTTATGTCATATAGGTCTATCTATTATTGTCCCTCTTTTCTTTCTCTATTACAAGAAATTGGGTATCTCTGGAATTCATATATGAAATCTATCACATCTGTGAATTACCAACATAGGAAGCACAAAACAGATACATTCCCCAGAGACATCTTTTGGATGCTCTAATTTTTAATCATTTTTTCCTGCTCCTTTATGCTCATGATAGCACTATAATCAATTACAGTTTATACGGTGTGATTAAAAAGGTATTTCCTGCTTAAGCAACTATAGTATATCTAACTTGTAATCTAAAAGTGTCTGCTCCAATACATATGACTACACTAAAAATTTGACCTGCCCAGATGATCTAATAACAGTTATGAAAACCACAGGTCAGATGGATCTATATGTGCCATCCTATATCAATTCTATCTCAAACTTATATACTAATCTAGATATCATATAGTCTATACACCACACTGATTCTGCCTTCTGCTATTCCTATTTTTTGTTAACAAAGCATTTGAAGGCAGTATTAGATTTTTTAAGTTAAATTCCAACATCTTTACAGTTACTCTGACTAATAACTAACTTATGACTCCTTTTTTTTTTTGCCTTAGAAACCTAATAAATTTCTAGGACTCGTCAATCTTCTCTCCAAATTATTAAATTTCTGTTTCCTCTTCAATATATTTCCCCTAACTTATGGTCATTTAGAGCTTTTATGATCTCTAACCAGTAGTCTTACCAAGTTACCTAACTGATTTCTCCATTCTTATCATTCCCGCTGAGGGACTTTGCCTAAGACTAAGATTAAAGGTACCAGACTAATTAACCTGGCAGAAGAAATTTCAAAGCAGTTGAATGTTAAAGCAGTGGTATGGCTATTGTTGGCTTTTAGCCAGATTTATGTTGAGAATAAATAGCAAAGAGCTCAGCAGGATGATTTTATGAGTACAGATCTGGGGTTGGCAGTCTTCATAAAGAAGAAAAATCTTTGATGATTATCATTCTGTGACTGGTATGACCCACTTCATGATCTTGAGTATAAGAAGATCACAACTCTTATTTTTTCAAAATTAGCCACCTCATTAAATACTAACTAGATGTTATGGTTTGTGTCTGAATATCTCCCCAAAGCCTCATGTGGTCATGGTGGGGGTGCTTTTCAGAGGCAGCTGGATTTAGAGTTTGCAATTGATTTATGGTTTATTGCTGGGATTAAGGATGTGAGTGTTACACCAGCCCTAGGTCAGGTAGTCTGCATACAGTATAAGGGACAGAAAGAGGCTTGTTCTTCCTTCCTCTCTTGTTGTTTTTAGTATCTTCTGCTGCCATGAATGGTTGCCCCTCTGTCATGCCATTCTGCTTTAGAGTCTGCCAGTTATGGACTGAAACCTCTACAAACTGCCAGCTAAATAAACCTTTTCTTCTTTAACCTTGGATGTCAGGTATTTTGTGTCAGAATTTGGTACCAGAAGTGGGGTTATTTCTGTGACTATACCTGACCACGTGGGTCAGGATCCTTTGGGAGTGGCCTGTGGGAAGAGTGTGGAATGATTCTGAGATGTCAGCTGAAAAAGTAAAGCTGGATGCTTCAGGCTGTTCTGTATGGAAGATTCTCATCAGAGCTTAGAAGGCCAGAAAGCCAGTAAAGACCAATCTCAGGATAGGAAGAAGGACTACATTGGCTGGTGAACTCTGGATGATGTGTGTCATGGCTTGACAGAAAATTTGTCTGTATTTTGCTTGTGCTGAGCAACTTTGCCTGAGTCTAAGATTAAGGGTACCAGACTAATTAATCTGGCAGAAGAAATTTCAAGGCAGTTGAATGTTAAAGCAGTGATATGGCTACTGTTGTCTTTTAGCCAGATTTATGTTGAGAATAAATAGCAAAAAGCCCAGCAGGATGATTTAAAATGTTGTAAGTTTGGCCAGTAAAGCTGTGGACTGCAAAAACAGAGCAGAGGAGATCTTGATTGCTGAGAAGAAACAGAAAACAGAAAAGATGGCTTGAGGGCACCACAGGAAGCAGCAGGATTCTACTCTTTGCAGCATCAAAATTGCAAAAGTGAAAGACTTTGCTTTGAGAAAAGACCCCCAGAGCAACATGTTCCAGAATGGTGGCAGCATAGAGAATTTTTTCCTCAGAATTGTATTCAGAGGATCTAGGCACTTAACCCCTACAGCCAAGAGAGAGGGAAGGCTGGTTATTGCTCCAGTTTGCAGCAGACCTTGGCATTACCCACATGGAGCTGGTTTTAGGTTGATGCAGAATGCAGGAGTTTCAGTTTCAGGAAGTATTTCACCCAGATTTCAGAAGAAGGCCTGGGAGGCCAGGCAGTGTGCCCCTGGGAGGTCAGTTTTTGAAGCTGTGAGTGTGAAGCCAAAGATGCACTGGAAACTCCAGAAGTTTGGAGAAGCCAGGAATGTGGATTGTCTGAGGAAAATTATAATGAGGGAGCAGAGTGGGCCCAAAATAGAAGCCACAACCATTAGAAGTGCCGTAGGGAGGCCATTCAAGCCCTTTGGAGTTCATATCTTTCCACAGATTGTCTTGGATGCTGCTCATGGAACTACAGGACTTAATGTTTGCCCTGCTAGGTTTTGGACTTGTTTTGTTGCCATTCCTTTGCATCTCCCTGTTTATAACTTTTTTTTTTTTTTTTTTTGGTTTTTCTCCGGTACTGGGAACCGAACTCACGACCTTGCGCTTGCCAGGTAGGCGCTTTGACACTGAGCTAAATCGCCAGCCCCCCTGTTTATAACTTTTGGACTGGAAATGTTTATCTCATACCATTGAGTGTGGAATTGTTTGATTTTCTTTTCATTTGTACAGGGGTTCACACCTAAGAGTTTGCCTTACATCTCAGGAGATGTGGGACTTGCTCTTTTCAGCAATGTTGAAACTGCTAGAAATTTTGGAACTGTTAGAGATGGGCTAAATGCCTTTTCCATTTAAAAATATATATATTTTTGGAGAGCCAGGAGAAGAATGTTATGGTTTGTGTGTGGATGTCCCTCCAAGGACTCATATGGTCATAGGAGGAGGGCTTTTTGGAGGTGGCTGAATCTAGAGTTTTTGATTGATTCATGGTCCAATGCTGAGATAAAAGGGGTGAGTGTTATACCCACCCAGAGTGGGTAGACTGCACACAATATAAGGGATAGAAAGAGGCTGTTCTCTTCTCCTCTCTTGTTGTTTTTGGTATCTTCTACTGCCATGAATGGCTGCTTCTCTGCCATGCCACCCTGTCTTACAGCAAGCTGATGATAGACTGAAATCTCTACAGACTGAGCTAAACAAACCTTTTTTTCTTTAACCTTGGATGTCAGGTATTTTGTCTCAGCAACAAGAAAAGTAACTCAGACACTAGGTTAGCAGGCAGGCCAGTGTTTTTCTTTTGGGGTCTGTTATTTCTCACCTATGGGAACTTAATTTAAAAAGCTAATCCTGTTTCTAAATGCTTTGTTTCGGTAGAAGTATAAATAATATGACCAGTCTTCCAGCAACATCTCTGTTTTCCACTGCTTTGGGCTGTACCACAGCACTAATGTTCCAAGCATGTCTTAGTACAGCACTACACTATTGATAAAGACCTCTGTGGAGACTGTAGCAATTTTAACACAAGGGACGAGTGAGTCTACATTCACAGAAAATCCATCATGATAGAGTGACAGTGTGATGGAGGACTTCTGGATTTGCCTACCAAAGGTACTGGACCTAGGACTTTCTCTTACCTTTGTCCAAACTAAGTCCAGGTCACCAACCCAGATCCCTCTTTTCTGATGGAAGACTCCTGTTGGGTGCATTTAGTGCTGCAGATCTTCCTGGAGATCAACATAGCCTAAAAGAAAAGTTCCAGTAGGTCAATTTTTAAAAAGTTAATTTTCTATTCAGATGGTTCACTAGCTCTAGAGACCAAGTCTTTCTAGGTAATACAGATCATAGAGTCTAGTGGTCACATTAGATATGACAGTGATGTACTGCAGACTGACTAGTGTTTATAGAAGAGGTGATATCATGAAATAAAAGTGGCACAAAGAAGAATTAATTTATTCTGGTTGGCAAAGTTAAAGAAGCCTCACCAAAGTACAGGCTTACATTCAATGATAAATGGAGCTCCAGGTGGACAAGGTTCAGAACAGAGCTAAAGAGAGGGTAGTTATGGAACATTGTGGAAATATTAAAAATGTATAGACATATAAAGTAGCATGTTATGCTTGGAATGCCATGGTTGTCCTATGAGGAAAGCACACAGGAATAAGGGTGGGCAGCTGGGAAAGAGGGAACGACTCTGACTTAGCTACTTTTCTCTCATTGTTAAGACAAAATATCTGATGCCCAAAGTTAAAGGAGGAAAGGTTTATTTAACTCACAGTTTGTAGAGGTTTCAGTCTATAATCAGCCGGGTGGCACATGGCGGGTAACAACCATCCATGGAAGCAGAGGACAGCACAAGTAACAAAGGAGAAAGGGAGTGTGTGAGAGAAAGACAAAACTCTGTCCCTTGTATTGTATGCAGGCTACCCGCACTAGGGCAGGTGTAGCACTTACACCCTTAACCCCAGCACTGGACCAGGAATCAACTGCAAACTCTAGACTCAGTCACCTCCAAAAAGCCCGACTCCTCATGACTGCATGAGGCTTTTGGGGGACATGCAGACACAAACCATAATAGTTGCAGGTCAGGTTGGAAAGCAAGCCAAGAAACAGTTATCAAAGGGCTAAAAACTGGGATATTACAACTTCAGGGAGATATGGAAGTATTTTATGAGTTTATAAGTTTGTAATATAAACTTGGTGCATCTTGGTAAAATACTAATTCCACTTATGGTGAAAAGAGAAGAATTGATGGTGGTTGGTTTTAAAAGAAATCATCAAAGGTTGATCTGTTTCTGCATTAGTGAGAACTAGATTCCTTTCATTAATACTTAATTGAGTAATTTTCTTTTGATGTTCTTGGGGAGGTCATCCATTCTTGGCAAATGACTAGTACATCCGAAGTTTAGTTCAGGCATGATCATTATTATTATTATTATTATTATTTTTTTTGTACTGAAGATTGAACCGAAAGCCTTTGCACTGAGTTACAACCCCAGCCTTTTTTATTTCTTGAGATAGGGTACCACTAAGATGCCCAGGCTCTTCTGCCTCAGCCTCCCCAGTAGCTGGAATTACTGGTATGTACCACTATGCTCAGCGACCTTTTAAAAAAATTCATTAGAAATATGGTTATTCTAAACAATCATTTCAAGAATGATTGCTACATATTTCATGTCAGGCATACTTGAACCTGTAATATTAACTACAAGTTACCTTGCTTTATCTAGACAAATAAATGTAGAAAGGATACTTTCTGTGGAATTTAAAAAGGAGACTTCTGTCTATTCTGCATTCTTGGTGATTTTTCTTTTTCATTTATTCTTCAAGGGCTACAATATGAAAATGTTAAACATATAGAATCTAATCATTGTCCTCCGATCCAACAGAATTACCACCAAAAATAAATAAATAGAGCAAAAATAAGAAATGTCCAAATTGGAAAAATGTGAGCATAACTTGAGTTAAAATATTTGAAACCTTAATGGCTTGAAGGCAGAGGGAAATTATTTTTCTCAAAATTATAATTAGTTTCTGCTTCAGAAATTGTCAAGGTGTCTTGGTTACTTTTCTTTCATTGCTGAGACAAAATACTTGATGCCCAAAATTAAGGAGAGAAAGGTTTATTTAGCTCATAGTTTGTAGAGGTTTCAGTCTATATTCGGCTAGCTCCAAGGCAGAGTGGCACACGGCACAGGGCAACAGCTCATGGCGGTGGAAAATAGCAAAAAATAACCAGAGTAGAAGGGAAGAGTGGCAGAGGGAAGAGCGAGTCTCTTACCCTCCTTTATATTGTATGAAAACTACCCACCCCAGAGCAGGAAGACTACGTGGGAAACAAGGGCCAAGATGATATGAACTAGAGGACAACAGTAGGGGTGGTGAGAGGTGGTCAGGTTTGGACTTATGTGCTACAGGCCTTGCTGATGGGTTATTGTGTAGGAGGGTGAGGCCTAGGTTATTGCTCTAAGCAAGTGGGTAGACTAGGTTGCCAGTGAATGTGATGAGAACTAGCCAGTCTGAGTAGTAGGCTTAGCAGCTGAGACGCTGATGTGCCAGACAGTTGTGCAGTTCAGGGACGAGGTCCAGACTGGAGACAAATTTAAAATATGCTGTCTGAATGCCTGGATTTAAACTTTGGGCAGTGGATGAAATTACCTAAGGGGAAAAGTATGGGTGAAGACCTAAGGACTAAGCTTTGGAGCACACCAACAAGATGACATGAAAACTTGTGACAGAAAGGACTAAAATGTTCTTGATAGAAGATACAAATGTCAAAAGGCCTGGACAGAGTGGACTGTTGAAATAAAATATAACACACAGTTTTAGTTAAGACTGGAAAGAATTGAGGCTCATGTGTTCTGATGTGTATCCCTGCTGAGAGCCTGTTAGCTTGGATTTTCTCTTAATCATCCCAGGAGACAGATATAAAGCCAGGACATAGGAACATAGCCCGTGTTTAGTGCGGCCCGATGCTTTTCTCTCACTGGGCCTTTTGAAAAGAGCAGCTGGACTTGGGCGTAAGGAGGCACATAAAGGCCCTCCTGGAGGAAAAGACATTGTCCTGCGGCTTGGAACTGGGTGGAGATAGTCCTTGAATCTGCCCATAAAAGGAGTTCACAGAGAGTCCTTGGACTTATGGGCCAAAGGAATCTTATCTAGGACTAATTCCAAGGGAATTTTGGATCGTGCTTCCCTTCTAACATTCTCTTTCTAAAATTTTGTCAAAAATTGTACCCTGGCTTTATACTGTGATAGATCAAAGTAAATCAACTCCTAAAGTGTAGTGGATAAAACACTCTGGAACCAGATAAAGGGACAAATCTCTGGTCCCCATCTTACTAGCTAAAAGACCACTTAGCAGGTAAATTAGCTGAAGTGGGAGATCAAAAGAAACAGATTATATAGTGAAAATGAGAATGAAAAGAGAAAAGTGGATTAAAAGGAGATTGATTGGTGGCTAATTATTAGCGTACATAGGAGAAATTTCTAACTGGCTCTGAGATTTCTATTTAGGATGACTGAACAAATTACCATCAACCAAAGTAGAGACTAAAACTATATTAGTTTTCCCTTTGTTCAGGCACAATACCCAATGCCCACAATTTAAAGGTGAGGCTTAATTCAGTTCATGTTTCCAGGGGATTGAGTCCATGGTTGGCTGACTCCGAGGTAAAAACATGGTAAGAGTGCATGACAGAGCAAAGATGCTTAGTTTATGGCAGCTGAGAAACAGATCCCTGGCCAGGAAGGGGCCAGGGATCAGGTACAGTACCCAAGGTCATGCTTTCATGACCCACCCAGACACATACAGAAATGTGCCCCCCCCAATTACTCAAGTGGCTCCCACACCAGTCAAGTTGATACAGTGAAGCTTAACCCCCACATCATGTTTTAGCAGAGATGACAGTGGTGTCATGTAATGGATTGAATGTTGTGAAGTTCTTCTGTTAAAATCCTAATTCCCAAGATGATAGTCCCCTTCCACTATATGAAGACACAGAAAAGAAGTGCTGTCTATGAGACCCTCACCAGGCACTGAATCTGTCTGTGCCTTGACCTTGGACTGCCCAAACTTTACTACGGTAAGAAATATGTTTCTGTTGTCTATTAAATTATCAAATTATTTTATTTAGTTATGGCACAGCCAAAGGGATAAATACATATAATAATTAAGTTTGGGACAAGTTGATCATTTAGCAGAAATGTTCAAGAGGTAGTTGGGAAGAGCTTCAACAAAACTTTATGAATGATATTGACATGTTTCTTTAGAGACATAGATGCATTCATTTTTCCACTGTATTGAGATTCCCCTTTTCAGCACATCCTTTTTTCTCCCATCGGAAATTAGAATGCCCTCTTTTGAATTTGCTTCAGTATCTCAGAACTTTGTACCTCTGTGCTTTGCCAACTCTTGCTTCTCCGTTTAATTCTGTCCTCTCACCTCCTATCTGGTGTTAAGTTCTCTTAATATCCACCTTAAAAATGACATTTCTCTGTTAAACTACCCTTTCCCTGTCAGGTAAAGTTTGAATAAGAATAGGTTTGATAATAACTTTCTATTTTATAATTCATAAACCCCACTGAATATCATAGTAATTATGTACATGTATGTCTGTTAACAGCTCCACTAGACTGGTTGCTTCAGCTAGAGATCATTCTGTTTACTTTATTTTCAATTTGGGATTCCAATAAATAGTCTTTGAAACAAGTGAAGTGTCTTCAAAGAAAAATAACTCAATGTAGAGTGGCAAAAAAAGGACAGACCAGGTTCTGCACTTATGATCAGCACTGTATGTGAAAACTGGCTTATAGGGGCTTGGGATTTAGCTCAGTGGCACAGCGCCTGCTTGGCAAGCACAAGGTTGTGAGTTTGATTCCCGGTACCGGGAAAGAAAAGAAAAGAAAATTGGCTTATGGCAGAAAAGAGTATCACAGACATTAAATTTGATCTAGGTTTGGTATTTAATTAAAAATGGAAAAAAAATCAGTTGCTTGAAAGAAGTGTTTCCTGTTTCTTAACGTTAGTATTTGCTCAAAATGTCTAATCATTAATTATCTGGAGTACCTGTTTTTAAATGCGAGTTAATGGGCCTTCTGATGATTCTGATTTGGGAGGTGTGAAATGGGACCCAGAAACCAATATATTTACAAGAGCTTCCAAGTGATTCTCATTATTTGGAAAATGATTATTAAAGTCAGAGATTCACAGAACCACCAGTGTCTGTGAAACTTTTTCACGGTATATCAGGCTAAAAGAAATACCCTATAGTTGCGTTTATTAAGTAGATACTGTACTAACTGTTGTAGTTGCTAACATGGTCCAACAGATGTCGCTGTGTTTCCCTCAGAAAAATTTAAACTATTGCACAGAATACCTAGAAATTCCCCGAGTACACTGTTTCTGAGCTACAGCCTAAAGGGAACGTTTTCCTGGCATAATATCTAAATAAAATATCTCAAGGGCTTTTGACAGGAAGATCATGCAGTAAAGTGAATGGTGCGTTCCATACATTTAATCACTTTTTACATCATTAGGCGCTGTTTTTACATTTATTATTGCTTATGCAACAGACAGCCATACTGAACATTTTCTTCTGTAAAGAGGGAGAGACCAAATGTTTGAAGCTTTTTCACAATAGATGCTCTCTACTGTCTGTTTTTCTTCCTCTCCCCTTCCCCTTCCTCTCCTTCTCCTTTCTCTCTCCCTCACTCCCTCCGCCCTTCAAACATGTAAAACCCATCCTTATCTCCTGAATTTGACCCACAGGGTTTCTACTTAAAAGCCTATAGCTTAAGTGCAATTCAATAAGAGTGATTTTGCAAAGTGGAAACCTCTCAGTGTTTTTCTATCTTTCCAGTCCAGGGAAGGATGCGAAAGTATGCCTTGCATGGAATACGGGCAGGGCCTACTTGATTTCAAAGCTACTACAAACAGGTTTATCAAAAGTCCTTTATCATCTTTTTGCTAATTCCCTGTAAATGGCTGACTTTCCAGCATTATAACTAATAAGGCAATCCTAAACTCATACTAGATTCAATAAATAACTTGACAAAATATGCAATTTGAGACTTGTAGCTCTTATTTTCAAAATTTCACTGATTCTTCTGGAAACTAGGCACTGGGGTGAGTCTGCACCTTCCTACCCTATTCACAAAGGCAATAACGATGACTGGTAATAGAGGTCTTGAAAAATCGGGAAATTCCTCTGAGAAACTCCAGTTCATATTAAAAAATACATTAATTCAAAGTACACCATATAAATTCTTCCAAATTACAATCTCGTATGCATCCATCATAAAAATGCTTGTTTTTCAATGACGTTTTCCCACAATTTACGTACCTCTCTTCTATATTGTCATGAGCACCCTGAAATTATCAAGAGTCGGTCACATTTCCTAAGCAAATTTATTCATGAGACGGTTTGGCTTATTCGTCGCCCAGAAAGACACTGATATTCCACAAAAGCAGGCTGTTTGCGAATCATCCTATTCCCAAGCACGCAGAACAGCGCCCGCTGCCTATTCAATCAGTATTTGTGAATTTATGGATCGAGGACACAACTACATTTGGAACCATGCAAGGCAAAGCACTTTGCATTTAATGACGAGGAGACGGGTTATTCATGCCGCACCCCCACTCATTTTTCTGGGGTCATCAGAAACATCCGTTGAACCTCTTCTTATCTGTAAAACCGGAATATTTTTACCTCTCTCCACCTCGCGGGCAGGGAGCTAGAATCACGCGTAAGGATGCGTTCCTTTGCTTCTGCAAGAGCGAGGCGCGCCCCGCTCCCGCCCACCCGGCCGCGGGCGGCCCTCCGTGACCTCCCGTCGCCTGCCGTCCAGG